TCTCTCTTCTCTCTCTCTCTCTCTCTCTCTCTCTCTCTCTCTCTCTCTCTCTCTCTCCGTGTTCACTCACCCTTCCACCAAAAAATCACCAAACATCGAAGGGCCATAAGGGGGGGAAAAGGCAAGGGATGGAGGGAGGGGAGGATGTACGTGGCGCGAAACGGAAACAAACGAGGAAACGGAACAAGAGCGGATCCAAGACGCGGCACACCGTCCCAAGGAAGCTGGGGAATCGTTGAACCGGAAGAACATCGAACTCGCGCGAAAGAGAAAGAGGGTCGAGGCTGCTTCTTTGTCTCTGACCTCGGCCGGTTCTGTGGTTGGAAAAGAGAGGGGAAAAAAGAGAGAGAGAGAGAGAGAGAGAGAGAGAGAAGAGGAGAGAACGCGGGGTGAAATTTGGCGAGGCACTGCTACGAGATTGTAACCGAGCGGGAGGGGCGGCAAAGCGACGATGGATACTCGCGACGATGGTTGGGGAGGGGGAGAGAGGCACACGCACGATGTGTTCGATTGGTAACGCGCGCGCGCGCCAACGGACCAACGACGACCTTTCTCGGTCGAGGATCAGTCGAAGACTGCTCGGCCGAAAGTGGGAGGCCTCTTTTTCGAAAGCATCGTTTTCTCCACGGTGGCGAGGCTTCCGGACAGAGGTAACCGGGCATGCGTGCAACCAGCCACCCGACCAACGCACCGGGTGTACACACAGGGTGTGCCAACAAGCACGCCCCCGAGTCTCGTGGAACGAAGGATGCTTCGAATTATGATTCTCTGAATTTTCCTTTTTCTTTTTTTTTTTTTTTTTTTTTTCAGGATAATCCTGTTTCGATATTCAGATGGATTGGAAGATTGTAAAGGTTGTTAAGAGGGAAGAAATTTGAAAAGATGAAGATGACACCGACTATTTTTTTATATTGAGATTTATCCTTTCTTCGTCGTGTAGACGGAGGGGGAAATTTTAAGAATTAACGAACTTTTGTTGGTTTCTAGAATGGTACACGAGTCTGAATGAACGTGACATATTTCTTGACACAACGAAATTTTAAATAGTCAACATGTAAAGGAAGTTTTCTAACACCGATTTTATTGTCGTCTCGAAATGATACGCGAGTGTAATTTATAATTGAAAAGTAAATATGAAAAAAAATTATTAATGATTAACTATAAATATCGACAATCTTCAAAAGATACTTCTCTAAGATATAATCTAAACATGTATGAATCGTTTAATGATTAACTTTCTTGTAAGAAATTTAACAATTAATCTTGACAAAGATGGTGAATTTGATTTCTATGTGGATTGTATAAAATTGATTGAAAATTTTGAATTGGGAACATGATTAATGATCTTTTAAATAGGTAAGAAAATGAAAAATTATATCAGAAAAAAAAACAAAATTCTAATATATTATAAGGATATATATTGCATCGAAGACAACGAAATAGAATGAAGAGCGTATAAAACGACTTTAAATCCCATCTATCTGTCAGATTTTTTATTTCAAGTTGTATGTATTTTTTGATATTCCTACTGACTTTACGATGGCATTATATTCCCTCCACTATCCATAGGGGACAAAAATGTACTCTCAGCAGATACAGTATATATATAAGAATATAATATGAAGATATATACCTATGACTTTTATTAATATGTTTTTTTCGATTAAATTTTCAATTTAATTTTCACGAGAATTTTTTCAATTCGATAAATAACGTAAATTTAAAAGGAAATTTAATATGATTTATAGTAAATCTCATCCGCTTGAATAGCAATTTTAATATTACAATATTGTCAAATTTGGGGAAATTTTTAACTTATAAATCAAAATGAAAAAAATTGCATTAGAATATCTAATTAAAAAGAAATATCTATTACGCTAAATATTGAAATGATAAATTAAAATGAAACAATTTTATCAAAATATTTAATCAAAAAGAATAGCAATTATTTTAAATTTTAATTTAATTAATTTGCCTTATTAAAATTGCCGTATATCGTAAAAAAATATTTATTTGTTGTGAAAAAAAAAGCATAAACATTTATTAATAGACTTATGGATCATCGATGATCCACATTAAATAATAAAACGTGTCAAATATTCGATTTTTTTTTTACAAATATTCACATACGATTACTCGACAAACGTTATCTCCACACGTCCGTCCTTCGATGTCGATATTCATATTCTCTATATACGTCGAGCTTACGTGGCATAAAACAAACGAATATTCATGTAGTGGCTTGATTCGCATTAATTTATCGACTGGTACCGGAATAATATTCGCTGTTCGGCACGAATACCGAATAATCTAACTACATTTGCGTGTTTTAACGAGAGTTTTAACTGAATATTCGAATGTTACTTGAAAGTATAGAATTATCTCTCCCTCTTTCATGATATGGAATGATTAATTTTGTTTTCGAACGATATACAATATCATTTGAAAGTTTAGAATCATTTGACGAGAGATGATTAGAATCGTCATCATGATATAAAATTTAAATTTCAGGATTTAGTTATTTAACTTGGAAACTTTAAAATTAAAATTTGGAGAAGAGTTATTCAAAATTTGAGAACAATTAGGTCCTTGATCTATTTTATATTATGATATATAATATATTATGAAATTATTTTATATTTAGACTGTGAATTTATTAAGAAGGAACAATCAAAAAGAAAAATATAATAAATATTTCTTTTAAATACTAAAAGTTCTATAAATTATAATAATGATCCTAAATTTTTTGATACTAATATAATATATGTTGAAATGTAGGAATTGAGGAGCTAATTAGGAGCTGATTATTGAATTGTGATTAGATATTTTTTGTTAATAGTGAATGAAAATTTTTTGACGATTCGTTAAAATTATAAGTTAATTAAAAAAATGGATGCATATAACTATAATAGAAGATTATAGAACCGTATTACGAAACATTACGTACGAGATCCCATCACTGCTTATATAATCTATGTACTATGATACTATCTATTTAGTAAATAGTAATATATTTATTATATAAGCACAAAAAAATTCGATGTTTTATAAAATATCTAAATGCAATTCAAATTACTATTCGAAAATATATATCGTTAAAGTAAAAATACTTTTAAAACTTTCTATTGAGATTGTTTGATATTATTTACGAATATTTTAATTAAATAATTGGAATAATTCTTGTTGTTATTTAATAATTAACTATGTTATATGAATTAAAAATTGACTTACCAACCAGCTATGCCATTTGGTTGTATCTCCTGCAAGAATATACCCAACTCTCCTTTATCCTTACTGCGAAGACCAACCACACTAAATCCCAAACTAGTACCTTCTGGTTTATACAACTTTAAAAAAAAATTATTATATTAAATCTCTCTCTTTGATTGTTGAACTAAAATATAAACAAAATATATTTTACCAACCTGCACAGTAAATACTTGACGACCTCTTGCTGCAGCTTCAATTACCTTCTTAAATTCTTTAACATATGTTGTTGTTGTAATTGGAGGCATTCCCATAACTTCCGATACAAGGCTTGGACTTGTAACCTGCAACAAAATAAAAATAGTAGTATTTAGTAAATAAAAGTATTAATGTAAATGTAAGATAAATTCAGGCATTCATTTTAATTTCATTGTATTTTAAACAAAATTTTACCTGTGCACTAGTATCTTCGCTGCTACTATGCACCAATGGAACAACTGGAACTCTTTGATCTTCTAGTTCGCTGCTATCTTGATATAGATCTTGATATACATTTGATCCAAGTGGTTGAACCGGTGTACTAGGAACAGAAAGTTCAAGTTGTCCACTGATGTTTATATCAAAATCCCCAGGGATAATAGACGGATGCTGGCCTAGTTGAGTATTTAATTCGATCAGAGAATCTTGAATGGTCACTATACTACGAAATACTGGATCTTCCAGAAGAGAAATTAAAGATTTTATATCTTGAGTAGTATGCATTTGTAGCTTTGGATCATTACAATCTTCTACTCTTTCCTGCACATGCTCTAATAAATGAAGAGCTGTAGATATATCTGAAAAAAATAATATTAAAACATGAATTAATATAAAAAAATAATTTTTTTATGTAAAAAGGATAAAAATTGATTTCAAATTATAAATTATAATATATTTAATTACCTGCACTTAGAGGCATTTTGTTTTTGGTAGATTTGCTTCTGGTAAATAATTATAAAAAGTCTTGTGAATCCCTCTGTAAAAAAAATATATATTTTTTAAAAAAAATACATATATACGCATAATATATACTTTATATTTTACATATTCTATACTTTTTATTTATTTTTATTTAATATATATATCTTTTATTTAATAAAATAAAATTGTAAAAATAAAATATATCTTAACCTCTATAACAGACAAGCATTGAAAAGAAATGATTAAAATTTATGATTATTTTTGTCCAACTTAATAATTAAAATGGAGAATCCCATGATATCGTTATATTAACTATTGTTGTATTATAAATTTATCGTAAATCAATACGACCACATAACTTTTAAATATTAATGTAACTACGTTTTCTCTCACCTATATTCCTTTGGAAACTTGAAATAGAAGGTTAGTAGATTACGAATAGATTATTTTCAACAAATTTCACGATCGCGCACAAAAATTAGAATAGATTTCGTGAAATATTACAGGAAACACTTAATTGCATTTTGCCATCAGCTGACTATGCCAAACTATCGAGTACTTGACAGGTACGAAGAGAGGATAAAGTGATTCCACCAATGAGATGCGATCAACCATTACTGTGCGCGAAGCGCGGCAAATTTAAATATCTATTATTATTGAAATGTCTTATTGATGTACTGTTTTATTAATAAAAAATTATTTCTCTTACATTTTAACAAGATAATATTCACAATGAAATAAAAAAAATGTTTAATAATTATTTAATCAACATAAATAAAATATAATAAAATAAAATAAAATATAATAAATATGAACTGGAAAGAAATATGAATAAAGAAATAATTCGCATATTATAAAAGTAATATCGTAAAGAATTAATACCTACCGTAATAATAATATTTTCATTTTACTATTTTTCATTATAAACAAAATTGTTGTTACGTCTTAATTATGAAAAAAATATAATTCCACTTAGGAAAAACCACGATAGATTATATCATTCATGTGTATTATTATCAGTACAAATTATCTATTCATAGTTTTTTATAACTATCTATATTCTAATTGTGCAATGCAATTAAATGTATTTTATAACAAATATATAATTACAAGCTATCTAAATTGGAGTTAATTTAACCAACAAGACTAAATAGAATTACTATTGCCGTTGAAAATCAATCTAAAAATCATGGAGAACAAATTATTTTCTTTGTGCTCTTGATATGATTTGAATGAAAATAAAATCAGACTAAAAATAACGAAGCAATAAAGAACAAACGAATCTCTCCGCGTGGACAGATCACGAAAATCACGTATCCCAGCTCGTTATTCATCCTAGTTGACCTCAGGTAGAAATCTCTAATCCATGATTCCGCTACGAACAACCGGGCGATCGTCCATCGGCACAATCAACCCAACACAGCGATGCTCCAATGCATCGATTCTCAAACGAAGACCCACAGGACTCTAGGGGGTCGTTCATTTATGAATACACCATTTAAAATACTTCCACAATCATATAAATCCCAAACTTAAAGTCCAAAATATAAAATAAAGAATACTTCTTCATCTCCTAAGATTTATTTTTACAGTAAAATATTTTTATCAATAATAAAAATGAAATAGAAAAAGAAAATAAAACTGCTATCTTACCGAATAACGTCTTAATTCCACTCGTCAATCGTATAAATCCTAAAATTTAAAAATTACAAAATATAAAATATAGAAGATACTTATTCATCCCCTTAAAGATTTATTATATTCATAATATTCATAATACCCTTTTAATTTCAGATAAATGAGAAAATAATGGTGCTGTCCCGTAGAATAGCAATATGACGATGCTTGAGAACCCACGGTCCCGCCGTTTACACGCACGTCGAACGTTTTCCCGGATGGCCCCACGGAAACCGGACACAATGGAGCCGCTTCCGGTGAGCACAAGGCCAGAAATCGGACGTGGGGATACCACCGCGCCTGTGTACCACCGGTGTGTTATCTCTCCTCCACTATTCTGCCCCCTATGGATCGTCTATGCTCAGAGAATCATTCATCGAAACAATTCTTCCTACGCTGTCCCTTCCCCTCCGCGACCGGTCAGGTGTTATCCATTATTTCCACGGTTTGCACTGATTTTGACCGTCAGTTTGATTACAGGTGCCATTCGCGTTGGATGGACGCGTTCAGATGCATTTTTATTACCGGTTTTGTCCGTTTTATAGTTGAGATCAGAGACGTCCTCGAAGATTAGAAATTATTCTTGCGCGATACGATTTGCTCTCGAAGTGGACACGTGAAACTTCTTGTTGCTCTGGGTAAGTATAATTGATATCGTTTTATTGAAGATTGTGGTCGATCATTTAAGTCGAGGTCTAGAGATTCCAGAAAAAAAAACAAGAAGAAGTTTTCAATTGAAAAGTTGAAGAGTTAAAATTTTAGACAAAATGTAGGATTTAGCTCATTGAGTTTTGAAATTTAAATGTCTTGAGATCTGAAAAAAAGAGAATATGAAAATTTTAGTCAAAAGTTGAGATAGAATTAGTAAATTTAATCAAAGAACGAGATTCAATAACACTTTTAAAATTTATTAAAATCTAAAAATAAAAGATTAAGTAAGAAAATTTGTGTGGATCAAGTTTCAAACGTTGCATATCAAAAATTGACAAACTATTTCCGAAAAAACCCAACAAAATCAACAATGAAATTATAATACTCCAACATCCTATGAGAATTAATATCGCAAATTGAGGAATATTATTTCACTCACGCAACAATGTTATCCGCGTATCATCTATTATTCAAGGTATCCCGATAAAATCTCTGTTTTGTAGTTCTTAACGAGATTACTTTTAAAAAATACATTTCTATGCAACATTATTTTATTTTATAACAAACACGCATTAATACGTATTCATTTTTTAATGAAATAGCAAATTTAAAATAAAGAAGAAATTGAATAATATACATTTAATAAATTAACCAATTTCAATGGACGTTTCGTGTTCCGTTTCAAATTTTTATTATAATAATTATAGGCGTACTATGTGTTTGTTAAAACGTGAATACGTGAATGCGTGAAATTCAATTTATAACGATATTATTTCAACGTGGTATTACAATCTACATACGAATGGCTCGAATCTATAATTTTCCCTCATCGACTGTAACCACTGAACGAGCATCCATTCTCTTTGGACAGAGAACTATAATTATGGAGGTGATAAACCGTAACATAATTAATAAGTACTGTTTCTGTGCGGTGCGTGTGCAAAGTTTGGTACATTTAACGGAGAAACACGTGCACCGCGGTTGACAATTTGTACATTATAATATTTCATTTGCAAATATACACGAGTAATAATTTATCGTTGCCGAAAATTATAGATTTTAGTTAACAGAATAAAATATTAGAACAAGAAATTTTCTTAATTGAAATATACCGTATAATTCGATTGTATTACTGAATATTTTTTACAAATTTGTCTTTTTTCAAACTGTAACTCTAATTTGAATGCTTGAATTTTGCGATGCTTTCAATTCTCGTTTCTTTTTTTTCTTTTTCGTCTCAATGTCATAAATTATCAAAGAAAAATATATTTTTTATTCTTTAATTTTATAATACTAGAAATTTGAACTAAAAAAATTAAATATCAAATCATCTCTCCTTTTAATACACCATCTTTCTTACATTTCTCTTTCGAACGTGATGATATCTTATCAAAGACAAAAAGCTTCTTTCAACATTAATACGCGAGCGAATCGAAGATATTCCCCGTGAAAGATATCGGTGTAAAACATCTCCCCTTGCGAAAAGGTAAGCGTGGATCGCGTTACAGAAGACACATTTTCACCAGGACGTTTCGATACATCTATTCAAAGCGCACAGAGACACTAGAAGGTTTTATGGAATTCCTGAGCTGCACTCACCCTGAACACCTCTACACTCTCGCACCCCCATCAACCTTTTCCACGATTACTCGCGTGCACGCGGCAAGGGGCCAGCACACGCCCGTAAACCCAACGAACCGTGCTTCCAACTTTCGAGCATTATATTATTAATTGCCTTTTCGATTACTGTTATCCCGTGTAATTCGACCTTTTTTCTGAAAAAAAAAAAAAATCAGGATTATGTTAGTTACACGAATTATCGAGATTTTGGTGTAAAGAAATTTTACAAAATTATATCATAATATTATTGTCTACGTAGCAAAGATTATTTTTATTGAATGAAAAATTATGCCTTATAATAAGATTAATTCTAAGTTAATTAATTTTAAGTCAGTAAATATCTCTTATTTAAAATTTAATGATACAGATTTTTTAATAATTTTAGAGTGTGATCGTTGGGATGACTACTTGATACCGAGCCCTAAAGTAACTAAAAATGAAGAAAACCAATATATCTAATCTTCTGCAATCCATCTCTGTCCTGGCCACATTGAGAGTGATTGTCAATGGTAATTATTCAACAATTCTCGAACACTTGCAACAAAAATTAACAAAATTATTATATTACTTTTCTATTTACAAATTCGATTATAAAAAGAAAAGAAAAAGAAAAAGAAAAATTTAACGAGCAAAACGAAAAATTCCAATTTAATGAGCTCATTCCAAAAAAAAATGTCTTTGAATCATGCTTCCGAGAATCGTGGTCGCGGAAATTAACGATGGAACGCGGCGTAAAAAAGAGTGATGTCACTTGTGAAATTGCGTTTCGTCCCATTGTATCGCCATACGTGCCACTTATGACACGAGAAAAAAAAGGAGGAGGGCGGGGAAAAAAAAAATGATAAAATCGGACTGCACCGGTGGTCAAAGGAAGTAACCTGATTTCTACAGAAGAGGAAATAAATAATATCCATTTATGAGAAAATAACGAGAAAGAATAAAAAAGGAACGAAAATGGTCGACTATTGAACGTGAATAGACAAAAATAACGAAAGAATTGATGTGTTTTCAGGACAAACAACGTGTAATGGCGGTTTGGGTCGAGTCGTTTACGAGAGACTTCCGGACCAACAGCTTCAGGGTTTCGACGATGATGTGGTATAAAATGTTTCGCGAAATATTTACCTATCTCTCTGGCCTCGCGTCGACGCCAGTTTTCAAATATTCAACCTAGCTCGGGAAAACTATTCTAAAAGCTTGAAACACAAAGTTTTGTGTAGTAGTGGTAAAATCTGATGGGATCTGAAGGGATGAAAGAATTTTGGAATTATACTGGTTTATTGTAATTGCAGAAAGGATGATCTTTGTTTGAAATATTTATGATTAAAATGATGGATTTTCTTACTGCGATTTTCTGATATTTAATAAACATTGGAATTAGAATTCGAAGCAAAGAAGTTTGAAATGTGGATGAAGAAATTTTTAAAAATTTTTCTTATAGAGAATTATTTAAAATGAATGCGTATCGATTATTTGTAATTAAAATTATTGTTCAAAAAAAAAAAGTAATTCTACTAATTTTGCAATAAAGTCAGTTTTCTTCTAAAGGAAAAATTATTTTAATATTTTAATATTATTGCATCTTCGTAAAGACAATAATTATAATAAATTAAAAATATTATTCCTGCTAGTTACTAATTAATTTATCCTAGGTACGAGACTCTGCACCACCATTTAGAGTCTTGGAAAAATGTCAAGAGTTATGTCTACGGGATAGAACAGCAACAAATAATTTAGTTCGTGCTTGCACGAGCTTCGATTTTCAACCTGGTAGCAGAATAGCTTCTTTCAGCGGAGCTGCTGAATATGAAGAAAGCACTTGCTATTTAACGAGGGAACAGGCACAACCAGAAGGAATTGGAAATCTAATGCTGGTGCCAAACAGCGTTCATTTTACAGAAGTTTGTCTTGGCTGTAAGAATGTATCTCCTTAATAATTCTCGAGTATTGTGAAACAGACCATCATTTTAACTTTTGATCTCCTTTCTCAATAATTTTTAACTTTATAGAAAAAGAAATAATTAATTCATCGATGAAATTATATAAATTAATTAAATTTACTCTTTCATTTAATTAAAAGAAAACAAATTTCTGTACCTTTTTCTGTTTAAATATTTCAATGTTCATATTCTTTTGTGAAGCTGATAGGATAGAAAGAGAATGTCCAAATCGGCGTTATGTTTTCGAGAGACATCCCAGGAAGAAACTGAAATTACCATTAACAGATATCAAAGAAGTTAGTGCAGCAAATAGAACAGACTGTGAGGATAGGTATAACAAAATTAATATATATGATTAAATTTATATTAAATTTAATACAAATAACAAATTTTTTATTACATTTTGAAGATGTCTGAACGAGTTCAGTTTCATTTGTCGATCTGCAACCTACGACACTGCTCTAAGAAGCTGTGCTCTGAGTCGTTTCACTAGAAGAACGCATCCTGAATTATTAGAGGATGATCCAAATTCTGATTACCTTGAAAACACTTGTCTGAATGGTGCTTACAATTAATATTATCCTTCTTTCTGAAAATTAATGATTTCATAATTAATAAAAAAAATATTTAAATTATCCAAATATTGAATTTTTATAATTTATCACTTTTGACCGAAGAAATTCGAATTTTGTAATTTATCAGCGGAACGTCGTTGCGATGGGTTAACTGTATTCGTCAAAGAAGAGAACAAACGCCTTCGAGGACCATTCGAAGTCGACATTTACACGAATCTTACCTTAGACGAGTGTCAAGCCCTTTGTCTCAGAGCGGAGAAATACTTCTGTCGAAGCGTCGAATTCGACGAGCAAACGAGGCAATGTGTCATTTCTGAAGAAGATTCCGTTTCTCAAAAAGACGATATCGGAATAAGCAGCAGTCCCAGCCATCATTTCTATGATTTGGTTTGTTTGGATAATCGTAAGTATATTATACTATCAGTGACTTCGTTCAAAATTTTTCATAATTCATTCATTAATTTATACCATTTTTAAAAATTTAATCATTCAAATTATAATAAACATTTATGTTACAATGAAAGCTATAAATTTACCAAATATACAATCTAAGCACAATAAAAGTACAAAATTCTAGTATAAATATCAATATCTATATTAGAACATTTTTACTTTTTAACAATAAAACAATAATATCCAAATTTTGAAAAGAAAGGATTTTACAAAAGACGAGAACATCTGATCATTTTTTCCAAGTCCAAAGTAAAGTAACAGTGAAACGATCGATTAATACTTCACGACACTTTACCAATATCCACTTACGAAGCGTAGATCCATCCATAGCACGTGGCTCCGAATACCCGGACAGCAGTCCCTCGTCGCATCTTTTCTCCGATGGGCGACGACCAGACACAGCGTTCCAGCGTTATCGAAACTCTCGTTTGAGCACTGAATTTCATTCTGAGATAACTGGGCGTAGTCTGAGCGAGTGCCTTGACGAGTGTCTTCGACAGACCAGCTTCCAATGTCGAAGCGCCGTGTACTCCGAACATCTTCACACGTGTCAATTGAGCCGGTTCAACCAACGGGACGGGCGCAGGATCATCTACGATGCAGAATACGATTATTACGAGAATCTTATGCGTGAGTGATAAATAGATTAATTTATTATCTTTTTCATTTGTACGAATGATAAATATAATTTCGTCTCTGATTAAGAGACGAGTAAGAGAATTAAAATATTTGTCAAGATAGAATATCGGAAATTTGAGCTATAAGAATTGTTCGTATATTTTTTCATAATATTAACGATTATATGAATAGACCAATATTTGGATGGAGATCGAGACAGCCCAGGGTACAGACCAGATCCTTTGGGACAGGACACGAATTTTGGTCGGCCTTCTCTAGGAAGACCAGGTAAATTAATGACAAATTTAATAATCCATCTTGTTATAACTCAATTTGTATAACACTTTTTCGTCGTATTTAATTTAAAAAACGCCATATAAATCATTCATAACTAAAAACTAAAAATTATCAAACATTCCAATAAAAATAAATTTCCTGATTCTACGCAGGTTATCCAGAAGATTACGACAAAGGGTTCAGCAGTAGCGTGAAGCCAGATCGATATCCGGATCGTTATCCAGATCGTTATCCAGATCGATACCCCAGCAGATACCCAGATCGGTATCCAGATCGTTATCCAGAACGTTATCCAGATCGATATCCTAACAGATATCCGGATCAATATCCCGACAAATATCCTGACAAATATCCTGACAAATATCCAGATCGTTACCCCTCTAAATATCCCGACAAATTTGCCGATAAATATCCAGATCGTTATCCCGATCGTTATCCAGGAGATAGATATCCAGACAGGTATCCTCTGAATGGGCAATATCCAATTGGAGCAGCAGGTGATACATTTCCAGATCCTATAGATCGATATCCCATCAGTGATCGTTTCCCTGTTGGCGATCGTTATCCAGCAATAGATCGGTATCCATCCTCAGACAGGTATCCAATTTCTGATCGATATCCAAACAGAGGTGGTGATCGCCGTCCTATTCATCCTGACCGATACCCTATTTCTGATCCTGGAATAGACAGATATCCAACAAGTAGATATCCTAGTGGAATTGGTAATCGATATCCAATATCTCCAGGTCGTTATCCAACCGATAATGATCGATATCCTAATACCATAGACAGATATCCTATTCCTGAGGATCCCTTGGATCGATATCCATCAGGTTTGGAGGTGCCAGACCTCCTCTTGATCGGTATCCCGTTAGCGAAAGGTATCCTGACAAGGATATTTATCCTAATCGGTAAGTTGAATCGAAGAGAAACTTTTATTGATTTTTTAAAGAAGAACAGTTGTTAAAATTAAAAAGATGATTTATATATAATGTTTCAATATATATATTTTTAAACCATCTCAATTAATTTTCCTCTTGTTTTAAATTCCTATCACTATTTCACAAAATTTTCAGTTCAATATATTCTTTCAACTATTCCAATTAATTAATCTATCTTATGTTACAAATAATAATTCTACACATCTACACAAAATCTATCTAATTACTATATACTTCCAATTAAATTACTTTAACTATCTTACATCATATTTCAAGTTACAAGTAGCAACTTATTTTTCCAAGAAACTTCAATTATTTTACATAATTATTTATTCTATCTTCCAAGCTACAAATATTCTACTTTCTCATAAAAAATCAACTATCATACGTTCAATCATTCTAACCACAATTCACCTATAACACTCAGGTTTCCACCTTCGTCGCACGGAGGCTATTCCCCAACTTACCCTGTGGACGACGTCTATGGTCCCCAAGCTCATCCAGACCGTAATCCCTATGGCGTAGGAGGGTCCACACGTCCTCTAGGTTACGGTGGTTACAGCAACGACGGTGGAATAATCGGCGGTGGTTACATAGGCGAAGGTGGAGTGTACAATTCACGACCTTTCGGCACCAGTGGTGGTCCCATCATCGGTCGACCGCCATTGGTGTCCAGATGCGACGAACAGGACAACTTTCGCCAAGTGGGTCCACACACGAGGGTCCGTAAACCGTTCGTCAGACGATACACGACAGCTTCCTCTCTGGCCCAGTGTGAAAGGGAATGTGCGGACGCCAGGGACTTCGTGTGCAGATCTTTCAATTATCGTCCTTACGCAGCACCCTATGGAGCTGAAAGAGACAACTGTGAGTTGAGCGATCGTGACTCCAGAGATATGGACATGGGCAATCCTGTATACTATGACACGGGGTCCGATTACGACTTCTACGAGAGGAACAACGGCAGACAGGGAGCTGATACGGAGTGTCTCGACGGTAAGCGTCGTAGGAGACCCTGGACGACATCTACGTGGATCACGTGGAGCGATCTTTACGCAGCTGATCCATATTACAGGCGTTATTGATACAGTTTTGAATTATTGTACAGTTATTGTCACCATTGGACTGTGTTTAATCAAATAAACCGTCTGTTACTTCCAAGATCAACTTTTTTTTTACTTTTTGTTGCTTGGTCACATCCGTTGATATCGATTTCTCCTTTGATTTCTGGTCAATGCGGACGATTCTTGAGTATTTCTTCTGAAAATTAGAAATGAGAAGAATGAAAAATTGATTTTTGGTTTGGTTTTATATACATAAGCCATTTTTAGATTTTAAAATTGATCAACTTTGTTGTTTTTCTTTTCTTTTTTTTTTTTTTTCTTTTAATTCTCAATTTTTAATAGCAAGATGTATAATTAACGTTTGAGTTTTCAGAAATCAAATTATTGGTCTTCATGAAGTTGTTTGTTTGGCTTCTGTGTGTTACATTTAATTAATATTTATTGAATGATTTGTTAAATGAAAATCGATGAAGAACGAGTAAATTATGTTTCTGGTCGTTTTAGTGAGTCAAGTGTGTAGCGAAGACGGGATGGAATTTACTTTAAGGACACCGGAAGGATTCATTGGTCGGATTTACACTTATGGCTATTACGATCGCTGCTTCTTCCGTGGAAATGGAGGAACTGTGAACGTCCTTCGAATCAGTGGTCCCCAGGGTTATCCCGAATGCGGCACTCAAAGAGTAAGAAACTTATTTTGTCGCTGCTTTTTCAAAAAACATTTTTGAAAAGATTTCTTCTTCTTCTTTCTTTCTTTTTTTTTTTTTGAAAAATTAAACAATTTTTAAGGTCTCTCATTTAGAATTAATTGGAAATTTTTAGATATTTTATTAAAACCTAAAAAAGAATCAAAATTTTCATCTCATATCTTTTATTTTCATAATAAATAGTAATAAATTCGATTTGCAATTGCAGTACGGCGATACAATGACGAACATCGTCGTAGTACAATTCTCAGACTACGTGCAAACCGGAAGGGATAAACGTTTCAATCTCACCTGTCTATTTCGAGGCCCTGGCGAAGCTGTCGTCACATCCGGCTACATCGGTGCCGGGTATGCCAGGTCATATCGATTGAGAAACCGTGTCTTGCACCCGGTACACTTAATTAAACAGTCCGACCGACGGTCAACTAATTTGGAATGCAAAATGTACCGCATTCCTTTACCGCATGAATCCTGGTGCAAGCACACTTGATTAATTTATTTTAATACCACCAGAGTTTCTTCGTTGAAAATCATCTGATCCTGTAATCCTGAATTTAAATATTATTTATAGAAAATTTAGAAAACACCATAACTGATTTGTTTGAAACAAATGGAAATAATAATTTTTAAAAAATATATTCTAATGATTTTGTTATATAGAACTTATGTTACAATGTTAAATGCTAAATAGTATTTTAAATATTGATAATTGTGAGATAATTGTAAGATATCTAAATAATTTTTGTAAAAGTGAATTTTCAATAAGAAGGATAATGTCATTTTTGCTTGATATAAGAAAAAATATTGAAATGCTATGTTCTATAAGAAGCGTTTAAGAGAAGGAAAGAATAGAATTAACTAATCGAATTCGTAATTACCTTGTGTAGATCAGGGTCTCCAATCCCAATCGAATATCTTCCAGCAGAAAACACTCTGAGTTCTCGAGTGCGTTTGCTGATTTTATATCAGGGCAGACCTACGACGACTATTGCTGTTGGAGATCCACTCACATTTAGACTAGAAGCACAAGATGGGTATGTAACATTTATTTTTCTCTTAATATCAATTGATTTGTTTTAAAAGGAAATGAAATGTAATTCTTTGATAATATTTTTTATAGATACAATTATGTAACTGATATTTTTGCTACTAATGTCATAGCAAGGGACCCATATTCAGGAAGAAGCGTTCAACTTATAGATAGATATGGGTAAGTTATATTATTATAAATTATTATTGTTTTTGTATTTATCGTATTTGTATTTTACATAATAAAGAAATTTTTATTGATCTCTTAATAATAGAAATAATCTGATCTGCCTGACCTGTTTTAAATATGACTATTTTATTTAATTAAATGATCTATTTGCATTGATTTATCTAATCTATTTATCTATATATTTCTTATTAATTTTATCCATTTTATATGATTAATTTAATTTGTCAAATACATATGTATTTTAAATCATTTTGAAATTGATTTGCTAAAACTATCTATAAACTAACTTATAAATATTAAAATTGTACATCTAATGTTACCTAGTTTCTTTTACTTATGTAAACTATTTATTCACACAGACATTTTAATTTAATTTGCCTGATAATTTACCACACTAATCCATACTAACTTATCTAATTTATTAATATTTACTTAAGCTTGTATATGTATTTATTCTTCTCGATCTAATTTATCTAATAATTATTTATTTTGATAAGCCTATTCTATTTAATTCACTTCAGAAATTTGATTCATTTTAATTTAATAGCTTGTCTATGTTGCAATAAATATTTAAAAATAAAATTTAAAATCTTCTCAAAAATAAAATATTCAATTTGTTCATACAGTTGTCCAGTAGACAATTACGTGTTCCCTGGATTAGATCGTTTGCGGGATGGTGACAGCCTCGAAGCACGTTTCAACGCTTTCAAAATCCCTGAATCCAATTTCTTGGTGTTCGAGGCGACAGTGCGAACATGTCGAGACGGTTGTCAACCAGCTTATTGCTCGGGTGGTACTGGAAGGAGCGAACCATCCTTTGGAAGACGTCGAAGAGATGTGTCGCAAAATGACACGATCCCTGAGGAAAACGAAATAAGCGTTATAACAAAAAATAATACAAATGACACGTCCTCGAATTCGACGTTTGTCGTCGAAGACACTGTCGCTAAGGAAGAAGAGGCAGAGGAGGAAGAGGAGGAGGAGGAACACGTGAGAGAAATGATAGAGGTAAAAAAGAAAAAGAAATAACAAGAAAAAAAACTTTACAATGATATTAAGAAGAAAATTTTTTTTAAATTATTATTGGAATAATTGAGACAATTATAATAGAAATTTTAACTTCATTGTTCTATTTCTAAATTAAGTGAAATGAAATTGTTGTTAAATTTCAATATATATATATATAACTTTATATTTCAAATCATTTGTTCTTGGAAACCTTGAATATGTATTTTCTTCTTTCTTTCATTAATGAAATAAATTAAAAGAAGTAATTTAATACAAGCACGTTTCAAAAACAAAAGAAAATGTTGTGTCTAAACGAATTGCAGGTTTTGGACTCAAGAATGGATATTGATGAAGAAACTGTGGTCGAAAAACAAACTACTATAATGGAGAGCGTCTGCATAACTCCTAACGAATATTATGGACTAGTAACAGCAGTGGCAGTGCTGGTAGTACTTTTAGCATCCGTGGTATTGTTATCCATGTTGATATATAGGTATATATCATAAATTATGATTTATCTTTGATACGTTAATTAATATGTTTATAAAAGTAAATTAATTTACATAAACTGTTTCAGAAAATATGCTTACGCAGTAATCACGAAAAATCGCAGAGTTGACAAAGCATGTAATCGAAGCAGTCATTCGGACGATGCTTGTAGCAGTCGTGTTAACAATTTCTCTTTCTTAAGATCGGGTCTTCAAAAACCATTTCAGTCTACGTACGTAATCGTTATCGGACGTTTACATAATCTTCAATATTTTATAATATTTAAAAACACTTTTATCAATATTAAAATTAATTAAGATATTTAAAAAACTTATCTAGAAAACTTATCTTGTTTTGATTGACCAAATGAAAATATATGGAAATTAATTATATGTTATATTAAACCATAATGTGGTAATTCTTTTTAAATACTGATAATTATTGTAATTGTATTATCATATGGTAATTTTAAAAGTGCTTATTAATCTGAGATTCAACAAAAGACATAGTCCTTGAAAGAAATAAAATATACTTTATATTGCATATAAATATAAAAATTACAATATGTTAAAAACAAATCTAAAAATTCTCTTAAAGAAAAAGTCAAGCAATTTTTTAAAAATTAAAAATAGATAAATTTCTCAAAAATTTAATTTTTAAATCCTATTTTTTAGTTTTGCAAAAATATCTCCAACATATATAACATTTTATTTTCAAAGCTACACCTACATTTTCTACTATAAATATCAAAGTTTATTCAAAAATACGTCATTCATGTTTGACAAATGGTTTAATGCTCTTAGCACACGTTCAACGTGAAATTCGATATTTATTCACCAATATATTACCTGAAGTTGATGTATATTCAATGTTCGATCCACAGGTCGATCTCCCGATCAATGAGTAACGTGATCGGTCAACGCGTGAGCTCATCGACCGCTCTGGAAGGCGCAGTAGGATTGTCATCCAGTAGAAGAACCGGCTTCGACCCTAGCGAACCGATCTACACCGATCCATCATTGTTCGAGGTTGCTCGTTGCTCGTCGCCTAAACCTGTCCTCGATGATAACTTCCATCTTATGTGAAGATCAAATCTCGTTAAATATTTCTTCTCAAAACGTGAACTTGGCGTTAGTCCAACATTCGAGACTTGAAAATAGAGAAATAGAGACGTCAATGGGTTTTCTATTATAATCAAAGAAAATAGGAAAATTTGGATGAAATTGTCATCGCATTGATTCTTTAACAAAATTTAATTTCAATGATATTAGAATTTAAAAATACTTGCTATATAGTATTGTTGTAATAACTTGATTAACGAATCATTTATAAACCTCGTTGATTTTTTATCTTCGAAATATTTGTAGATTGTTCCTCCTATTACGATTTCTTCTCTCTTCTATTCTTTTCTTTTTCATGATTTCAAACACAGCTAGTCAACTTCACTGACCACTGCCAGCTACGACTGCCATGTCGATAAACTGACGTATTGTATACTGTCATTGATTTACTATGAGTTTATCATGATTATTCTCTTTATCTATTGTTTAAACTATTCTTATATAGAGATACAATGATTGTATATTGACGCGTTACTTTCTTGAAGAGCGATAATTATAATTATTTAGTATTAATTCTTTTTTAAGAGAAATCTGGAAGACATTCAGAAATTTAGCAATCATAAAAAAATGTTTAGAATGCAATCTTCAATAATCTATTAAAAATAAGTTGATAAATTTTATAGAAAAAATTTAAAATCTTCTTTTATCTAATTCTCTAATTTATTTTCTGATAAAAACAGTAATTATTTTTTTGAATTGAATTTTAAAAACTATAATCATCTTTTTACAATACGATATTTTTCTATTATTTTCAACTTATATATTCAGTTTTTAAATTAGCATGATAAAATGAGACTATTTATAGCTTTTATACGAAATAGCCTATAAAACCATCAAAACAAGGATTAAAAAGAAAATCCTCGTTCGTATTTAAAAAACATTACCTATTATGGAATCATAAGTAACTAGCATTACGAGCTTTTATTTATTATGATTTCAATTGTAGTTAGAAAGAAATTCCAAATAATAAACAGATATACATAAATAGAATATCGTTCAGTTATATTTAGTCGAAGATAATCTCCTGTTTTTTATTCCTATAAAATAAAATGAATAAAGACATCGCACGAAGCCATCATGAATATATTCATTTTATTCTCTTCGGTCAATCTTCCTTTATCCTATCTAATTTATAGGTAAAAAGAAGCATCCTTAGCCTAGCCTCTTCTTTACGATAGTGAGCCTCTTCTAATTTAATCCTGGCCTCCTCTTTTAACATAGCAGCGATATCAACTTTCATCTGTGCCTCCGATAAAGCCAATACATGTAATTCTTCCTCTTTGTGAAGGGATCTTTTCGTCCTTCGGGGCTGTTCATGAACAATTGAAGGGGAAAACATCGTTTGTGTTGCATTTGACTTGAAAATAAGTCGATTTTTCTCCACTGTTTCATCTTTGTCTAATTGCTCCGGCACAGGTGACTCCAAATCTTTTTTAGATTTGTCGAAACAGTCAGTTACTGGGCCGTATGATAACGAGTTCGAATCGATTTTACTGCTGATGGAATCTGAGGTAATAAAGGAATTGTATATGTGTTTAAAAAAATATCATACTTTTATTAATGGTATATCCTTTTTATTAGTAGCAAATTTTGAAAATCTGAGCTACGAATGAATAAAAAAAAAAAGGAAAAGGTGAGAGTATAACCTGTATCTTTACAATTATTTTCCTCTTTCGAGATTTGTTTCGAAGGTTTTATAGTACACACAGTTTGCAACGTAAATGGTTCAGATTCCTTTGGTTCAAACATAACATTTGGCGGTAAACCTATAGTTCCGGTGGGAATGGGAACATCTGGTATGGAATTTCTATTTTCCCAACTTTTTGACCGTGTATGATCTTTGGACAGATGACAAAAATTTTTTGAAACACCACTGAAAAAATATTTATTTTATATTTTTAATATTTATAATATTAATAATATTAATAAAAATGGACCAATTCAATAAAAATAAGAATACAAATTTATATAAGAATAATTATTTAAATTAAAAAAAAATAATAAAAAAAAGCAATAATGATAAATGAAATACTTTATACTACAAGTAGTCGAATATTCCCGCGCTTTTAGCATAAAGCGATATGCACGAAAAATAATACCGTGAATGTATTATATTTACCGCAATTTCTTCTCTTCGCGATTTCGTTTACATGCTTTCATGTTTTCCCAACAGCGTCTTAACTGTACAGCTGAACGTATTCCTTGTGGACCTACCATTGAATTGTATTCGTTGGCCAATTGAGACCATGCTGATTTTCGTTTATACATCGATATTGGATCGGACCTTTTATCTTCGATATCTTCGTACTTATTTATCAAGGTTATCAAAATTTCTCGTTCCTCGAAGCTATAAGTTTTTCGAGTGCTTTTCAACGACGAAGAAGCCATTTTAGCACAGAAAAAATGCTCAACTATCACGTCGGTCTTCCACTGTTTGTTTCTTCCCACCAACGTAACTTAATGCAATCTTGTACAAGTTTTTCTTATAATCAATGCATTGTAATAGTTTCGATACAACAATTAAGAATAAAATCATAAGATGAAATATTGTTCATTGTAGAGCTTGGAACTTGTCTATGGTATATCTTAACCATTAATGTATATCCATTAATATATTTTAATATATTACATTTAATCGAAATGTTAGAATTTCGACGAAAGGCATTATATTATTTAATATAAGTAATTGTCTGTTTTGTTTGAGATACTTAACTGATATAATTCAAGTGTTGAAATTCCAATTTATTATATATTTTTTAAAATATTTCACTCGTTGATCTGATGTATTTGACGTTAACGGATAAACTGGCGCCAAAGAAAATAAAATATAGTTCGTGAATATTCCAAGTAGTTGGCGCCAGAGTAAAATCATTTTAATGGCAGTGCTTTCAAAATACAAACATGCACAGGATGTCACGAAACTACAGGAGACAGTGGATCCAGTGACAGTGTGGTATCCGTAGTAATTGTTATAAAATGAAACGGCATGTTTCATCTGATGCAATTCCTTAGCGGACTCCTTTTGCTTCTTCTTTCGATACCGCTGAGCAATGGTGTGGATTACACGTACGAAATCGACTGCAGTAACCTACGAATGGGACAATACATCTGTCCTCATCCCGATTATGATTTCATAGATCCAAAAACGCAACAACCAAAAGGATGTACGAAGGAAAATAAAGCCAAAGGTATGTAAAATTCTTATGTCTTTTCATTATTCGTTAATCGGAAAAAGTTTGACATAACCTATATCTAAAACTAAAAAAATGTGCATTTTCATTGATAATTTGGTTTTTTCTATTTTATTTTATTTATTGATGTTTAAATATTTATTATGTTCCTTAGTTTTGTAACAAGTATAGTTTTATATACGTGAAATTTGAAATTACATGTTCATTATCATGTTGTTAGTGTTGTGTCTGGCTGCGGATGGCCTCATTTGTACAGAAACAAAAAATAATACGTTTAAGAAGGATATTCCTTGTAAATGGACGTAAGTATATATAATAATTTGTTTATCAAATTAAAATTTAAATGTTTCAAACAAAATGAAAAAAATATTTGCAATATCCAAGATGTTTGTAAACATCAGAATATATAATTTAAAAGTATAACAAACAATTGTATTTAGAATTTAAGCATGTAAATAAAATATACAGTATGTTAAATTTCTTTTTTTATTAATATTTACAGAAATGGATATTCCTTCGAAACATCATTGTTACTCTCTATATTTCTTGGCATGTTTGGGGCAGATAGATTTTATCTAGGGTATCCAGCATTGGGCTTGCTTAAGCTGAGCACTTTGGGATTTCTCTTTCTTGGTCAATTTGCCGATGTAATACTTATTGCAACACAAATTGTAGGACCTGCAGATGGTTCGCATTATGTGATGCCATATTATGGTGCAGGAATTCACATTGTGACAAGTAATAACTTTACATACAGAGTGCCACAATACGATTGTTGAACAATTTCTACATACAGAAATAATGATGATCAATCTAAAAATTGTACAGCCCCTGCTTTAATCACGAACAACGATATGTAATCCTAGAATCGAGTCCTATTTCAGCAAACTTGGGAGAAAGTTATGTGTATGCTATTTTAATGGACAAACAGAAGAGAATCATCTTGTAGATATGTATTTCAACGAAATATTGTATATACAGATTTGTTACTGACTTATTACCTATTGCCAGTATAGTCGTGTAATAAATATTTGTTTTTATTTCTAAGTGTTTCTTCCTTCCCTTCACAGATTTTTATATATCTTTAAATTTATGGTCATTGCATTTTTTTTTATTATTACTGCGTATCAAAAAGTTTAATTACGTGCTTACCGATATATTTAAACATAATTAATTAAACAATCATAATTAAGAGAACAAAATATAAACTTGATTACGCACTTTTTGTATTGTCAAAAATGACGTTAATCGCTATTATCGCGGTTTAATTATTATCTAGCACGTCTTTGATATAAAAGTACTGGAACGCGTTATTTTGATATTCAGAAAACTTTCAGCAACGGCAGTGGTAAAAGTTTGTGTTCTCTGATCAGAAAAGTGAAAAAATACTTCAATTCGATTAATGTAGCATCATCGAATATGAAAAGTTTTATTATAATTTTGTTATTTCAATTTCTCATCCTAATTGTAGTTAGTCAACCAGTGAACAAATTAACTGTGAGTTTTTTATTACTTTATTATTTTAATTTCATTTATTTTGATAAAGATAAAATTTATAAATTATTTTTTATATTTATTAAAAAAAATAAATTAGAATTAACATAATAAATTTAATATAATTATTTTAGTTATATAAATTGAATATTTTTCATTTAACTTATTCACATTGCTTTTTTTTATAAATAAATATTATGTAAATATTATATAAATATTATATCATTAAAAGAAAAATATTTCATAAATTTATCATTATATTCATCTTTTTTAATAACAATTTTTTCATTTTAAAATAAATCTTCAAAATTTTAAATACATAATCTTGTATAAATGAACTCCTAATTATCTGCAGGATGTTGATACAAATTATGGAGTACACAGATACCCAAGGACCTTAATCTATTTTCCACCTTGCAAGATGAACCAATACTTTGACAAAGAAAAAGGTTTTTGTTTGAATGTACTCGGTGGTGGTAAAGCGCTTTACATAAATAATACATCTTGTGGAACAAACGTGTTAAAGCCACATTGTTATAATCCAAGATATTACTATATCTGTAAGAAAAATAAAACTATTCTGGCACAATGTTCTCAAAATAAACATTTCGAAGTTCATTTACAAAAATGTACTTTGATATATCATGGAAAAAACACTCCTAATAAAACCAATTCTAATAGTTGTCAAAAAGTAGGTATATTTCCAATTGCTAATGATTGTCATCAATTCTATACTTGTACAGCTTATGGTCATCGAATGAAACAAAACTTCTACATATGTCCAAAAAATATGGCCTTCGATATGGAAACAGAAATGTGTAAACCTTCGAGTACTTGCAAAGAATCAAGATTATCTTCCACGTGTTTATTTAGCAGTGAAAAAGAAGATATGACTCTAGAGGAAGCAAATATGTTCTTAAAACCGATGGACAAATCGTTAACGTGTGAAACGATATTTACGAGTGATGAGGAAACTATGACTACTGAAAGGAATTATAACAATAATGAAATTAAATCGACAACTTCTTATAACAAGCCGACTGTATCTGAATTTACGGAACCCAGCGATAGGAATATTACAACCACGATCGAACGTGCTTCGGAAACATCACAGTCTATAAACACTGTCGCTTCCGAGATATATACAACTGCAATGTATTCGCCGACTAAGGAAGAAATCACGTACACGATAGAGCAAACTTTGTCTACAGAGAAAAATGGAGATATAGAATCGTTAATTTCAAAAGAATCTTCCGAGCAAGAACATAATGGTAAAATAATTAATAATAATATACAATCAACTGATGCAATGCAAACTTTTTCCACTGAACTAACAATTTTAGATGATACAATTTCCCGAAGAACGGGATCAGAGACACAATCAAACATAGAAATACTAAATAGTACACCAGCAATAGAAGACTTGGATGGACCATTAGCTAATGAAGAAGAGATTACCGATTTGCCATCAGCAATAATTAATGACAATCCCGACACAGAAAAATCAGAAATAAATTTAAATGATCCATCTCTAGAAATTCTTAATACTACACAATCAAATATAGAAATACCAAATAGTACACCAGCAATAGAAGACTTGAATGAACCATTAACTAATGAAGAAGAAATTACTGATTTGCCATCAGCAATAATTAATGATAATCCTGACACAGAAAAACCAGAAATAAATTTCAATGATTCATCTTTAGAAATTCTTAATACTACACAACCAAATATAGAAATACCAAATAGTACGCCAGCAACAGAAGACTTGAATAAACCATTAACTAATGAAGAAGAAATTACTGATTTGCCATTAGCAATCATTAATGACAATCCTGACACAGAAAAACCAGAAATAAATTTCAATGATCCATCTCTAGAAATTCTTAATACTACACAACCAAATATAGAAATACCAAATAGTACACCAGCAACAGAAGACTTGAATGAACCATTAACTACTGAAGAAGAGATTATCGATTTATCACCACCAGCAATTGATGTAACAACTAATCGCAATCCTGATGTAAAAGGATATACAGAATTAGGTGTAAATTCTAATGATCCATCTTCAGAAATTCTTAATATTGGAGAACCGAATATAGAAATGCCACATAGTACACCAGCAACAGTAGAATTCAATGAATTTGCTGAAGAAAAGAGTTCTAATTTTATATCAGCAGTTAATAATAATGATTCTGAAATGAAAAAACAGAAGGAAACAGATAGAAATTTAAACGATCAGTTATCAGAAATATTTATTACTGATATACCTAATATAGAAATGGAACACAATATAGTGACAACAATAAAAGTTATTGAACAGTCAACTTTCGAATCCGAAAGTTCTGATATTGTTTCAGAAATTCCTCCCGATACTTTAACTAGTATCAAAGAAAACGATATACATACAATCGTAAATTTAAGTGATTCATCAATGGAAATTACTACTCCTAGTTTAGATAAATATGCTGTTACGAATGGAAAAGAAACATTTATGGAAAAGAAAATATCAAATAATGATGGAACTGAAAATAACGTATTTGTTGAAAGTGTTACAAATGTAGTGAAATCATCAGAAAATTACAATTTTCAAAATTATGTATCTTCAATTTCTATTAACCCAGCAAGTTATTCTGGTATGATATCTGAGAACAAATTTGAAGAACCTTCTTCAATATCAATTACAGATAGAACTGTTTTTAATAAAAATGAAGAAAATAATACACCATCGACATATAAAGAGTCTAATATAATGAAAACAAATTCTCCCATAGAAATAAATATAAAATATACAACTTCTGTTAATAAAAATTTAAATAATATTGGAAATGAAAAATCGATTTTTTCTTCCGATACAAATAAAAATGAAAATGATAAATCGATTTCACAAGCGAATAAATTAACAACTAGTTTTCAAGATTTGATTGCTAAATGTAGAAATCATATGTCAGCAGAAACTATCATACAATCAACCAAATCAAATCCCACTAATGAAAAATATTCAGATTCATTTCATATGCAATCACATTCTCTGGTTTCAGATAAGAAAAACGCAGACAAGCAAAACAAAATTTTTGTAGAAGACTCTTTATCGAAATATATATACTCTGGAAAGACGATATCAAAAAATTTCATATTACCCATTACGTCAGCAGTGTTAAATTTCATTGATAAATTTGAATGCTATTTGAAAAATACGTTTGTAAAGATATTTCACTGAAAAAAATATATAAATTACAAATATTAGTGAAAATGCAAAGAGTAATTTAAATATTTACGTTATTATATTATTTAAATATTCTAATATAATAAGCATAAGGATAAAATAAACGAATTATATATTATATTTTAAAATATGTGAATATATTATATATATTTATTATAGATATGTATATATAAATTAAAATCTGAGGTAGAATTTATTGAACATTCCTAGATATTATTACTATTTTAAAATAAATAATTATACCACAAAAAAATTGTACTATATTTCAGAATTCTAACATTATCATGTATTTTCTCTGTCTTGTTCATTTATTAAAGTGTAATATAAACCTTTCTTTTTAATAAGTTCTGTATGAGTACCCATCTGAAAATAAAATAAAATAATACACATTTAATTTGTATTCTATATTATATTTTGAATTGTGCATTTCAATACATACTTCCGCAATTATTCCCCGTTGTAGTACAACAATAATGTCAGCATTTTTAATTGTACTTAATCTATGAGCAATTATTAAAACTGTTCTTCCTTGACTAACATTATCTAATGCTTTTTGTACAATTCTTTCACTTTCATAATCTAACGCACTAAAATTTATTTCACAAAAAAATTTATTTAAAATTTATTGTAAAAATTAATTAATTCAAATGTACAGATTTGTTAAAATATATATTGTTTATAATTTTTACCTTGTTGCTTCGTCCAAAATTAAAATAGATGGTCTTTTTAATAAAGCTCTTGCAATTGCGATACGTTGCTTTTGACCACCGGAAAGTTGTGCACCTCTTTCACCTACTTGTGTATTATATTTATTTGGGAATTTCATAATAAATTCATGAGCATTCGCTTCTTTAGCAGCTTCAATAATCTACGAATATTCAATAATAAGTTTTGCAAAAACATAATTTTAATAAAATTTAAAAATTTCTTACATCTTCATTTGTAGCATCTGGTTTTCCGTATCGTATATTTTCCATAATGCTAGTAGCAAATAAAATAGGTTCTTGATCTATATATCCCAAAACATTACCTCGAAGATAATTAGCATTGAGTGATTTCAAATCTTTATCATCAATTATAATTGAACCATCATTAACATCATAAAATCTAAAATATTTTATATCACTTGATTCACGATAAAAAATTTATTTGACTCTATTACTTGATTCTAATCAAAAGTACCTTTCTAATAAAGCAGCTATAGTTGATTTTCCATTACCACTAGAACCAACAATAGCTACTGTTTTTCCAGCAGGAATGTGCAAGTTAAAATTTTTTAAAATAACATGATCTGGTCTAGTAGGATAACTAAATTTCACATTTTTAAAAGTAATATTTCCCGCTAATGATTGATTTGTAATAATTTCTCCACTAACTATCATTGGTGAAGGTGACATTTCTAGATACTATAACAAAAAATTACAAAATAAAATAAAAATTTTTTTTATTTACATTATTATAAAATATAAAATATCTCAAAAATATAAAATATATATACCTCAAAAATTCTAGCACCAGCACTAATACCTTTAACATATGCTCCAAATAACAACGATAATTGCGATAAAGATTTTTGTATAGTCTGTGTAGCCATTAAAAATGCCATTAAATCTCCTGGAGATAATTGTCCAGTGGATAATAAATGTCCACCGAAATATAAAGTACAAAGTAAAATACCATTAAGAAACAGATTTGTTCCTCCTTGAAATAAACCAATTCCTAAACCTAATTTTTCAAATAATGTTGATCCTAATATAGTTTCCTTACAAAACATTTCTATTTCTTTTTCTTCAGCTGCAAATGCTTTTACCTATAAAAAAGATATATTATAGATTAGAAGAAAAGAAAAAAGAATTCTATTGTCATTATCATACATGATATTACCGTTCTAATATTTTGTATGGCCTCCTCACAAACATGTGTAGATTTAGCAAGTTGATTTTGTGCTTCCATAGATAATTTTTTTAAGCCTTTTCCAAGCATTGTACCAATAAGAATTATGGTAGGCAATGATAACACTGTAGCCGCAGCCAGTTGTGGTGAAATCCCTATTACAGAAACTATACACCCAATAATTTGTGTACTGAAAAAGAAATTATCGATTTATCACCACCAGCAATTGATGTAACAACTAATCGCAATCCTGATGTAAAAGGATATACAGAATTAGGTGTAAATTCTAATGATCCATCTTCAGAAATTCTTAATATTGGAGAACCTAAAAAAATTGAAATGCCACATAGTACACCAGCAACAGTAGAATTCAATGAATTTGCTGAAGAAAAGAGTTCTAATTTTATATCAGCAGTTAATAATAATGATTCTGAAATGAAAAAACAGAAGGAAACAGATAGAAATTTAAACGATCAGTTATCAGAAATATTTATTACTGATATACCTAATATAGAAATGGAACACAATATAGTGACAACAATAAAAGTTATTGAACAGTCAACTTTCGAATCCGAAAGTTCTGATATTGTTTCAGAAATTCCTCCCGATACTTTAACTAGTATCAAAGAAAACGATATACATACAATCGTAAATTTAAGTGATTCATCAATGGAAATTACTACTCCTAGTTTAGATAAATATGCTGTTACGAATGGAAAAGAAACATTTATGGAAAAGAAAATATCAAATAATGATGGAACTGAAAATAACGTATTTGTTGAAAGTGTTACAAATGTAGTGAAATCATCAGAAAATTACAATTTTCAAAATTATGTATCTTCAATTTCTATTAACCCAGCAAGTTATTCTGGTATGATATCTGAGAACAAATTTGAAGAACCTTCTTCAATATCAATTACAGATAGAACTGTTTTTAATAAAAATGAAGAAAATAATACACCATCGACATATAAAGAGTCTAATATAATGAAAACAAATTCTCCCATAGAAATAAATATAAAATATACAACTTCTGTTAATAAAAATTTAAATAATATTGGAAATGAAAAATCGATTTTTTCTTCCGATACAAATAAAAATGAAAATGATAAATCGATTTCACAAGCGAATAAATTAACAACTAGTTTTCAAGATTTGATTGCTAAATGTAGAAATCATATGTCAGCAGAAACTATCATACAATCAACCAAATCAAATCCCACTAATGAAAAATATTCAGATTCATTTCATATGCAATCACATTCTCTGGTTTCAGATAAGAAAAACGCAGACAAGCAAAACAAAATTTTTGTAGAAGACTCTTTATCGAAATATATATACTCTGGAAAGACGATATCAAAAAATTTCATATTACCCATTACGTCAGCAGTGTTAAATTTCATTGATAAATTTGAATGCTATTTGAAAAATACGTTTGTAAAGATATTTCACTGAAAAAAATATATAAATTACAAATATTAGTGAAAATGCAAAGAGTAATTTAAATATTTACGTTATTATATTATTTAAATATTCTAATATAATAAGCATAAGGATAAAATAAACGAATTATATATTATATTTTAAAATATGTGAATATATTATATATATTTATTATAGATATGTATATATAAATTAAAATCTGAGGTAGAATTTATTGAACATTCCTAGATATTATTACTATTTTAAAATAAATAATTATACCACAAAAAAATTGTACTATATTTCAGAATTCTAACATTATCATGTATTTTCTCTGTCTTGTTCATTTATTAAAGTGTAATATAAACCTTTCTTTTTAATAAGTTCTGTATGAGTACCCATCTGAAAATAAAATAAAATAATACACATTTAATTTGTATTCTATATTATATTTTGAATTGTGCATTTCAATACATACTTCCGCAATTATTCCCCGTTGTAGTACAACAATAATGTCAGCATTTTTAATTGTACTTAATCTATGAGCAATTATTAAAACTGTTCTTCCTTGACTAACATTATCTAATGCTTTTTGTACAATTCTTTCACTTTCATAATCTAACGCACTAAAATTTATTTCACAAAAAAATTTATTTAAAATTTATTGTAAAAATTAATTAATTCAAATGTACAGATTTGTTAAAATATATATTGTTTATAATTTTTACCTTGTTGCTTCGTCCAAAATTAAAATAGATGGTCTTTTTAATAAAGCTCTTGCAATTGCGATACGTTGCTTTTGACCACCGGAAAGTTGTGCACCTCTTTCACCTACTTGTGTATTATATTTATTTGGGAATTTCATAATAAATTCATGAGCATTCGCTTCTTTAGCAGCTTCAATAATCTACGAATATTCAATAATAAGTTTTGCAAAAACATAATTTTAATAAAATTTAAAAATTTCTTACATCTTCATTTGTAGCATCTGGTTTTCCGTATCGTATATTTTCCATAATGCTAGTAGCAAATAAAATAGGTTCTTGATCTATATATCCCAAAACATTACCTCGAAGATAATTAGCATTGAGTGATTTCAAATCTTTATCATCAATTATAATTGAACCATCATTAACATCATAAAATCTAAAATATTTTATATCACTTGATTCACGATAAAAAATTTATTTGACTCTATTACTTGATTCTAATCAAAAGTACCTTTCTAATAAAGCAGCTATAGTTGATTTTCCATTACCACTAGAACCAACAATAGCTACTGTTTTTCCAGCAGGAATGTGCAAGTTAAAATTTTTTAAAATAACATGATCTGGTCTAGTAGGATAACTAAATTTCACATTTTTAAAAGTAATATTTCCCGCTAATGATTGATTTGTAATAATTTCTCCACTAACTATCATTGGTGAAGGTGACATTTCTAGATACTATAACAAAAAATTACAAAATAAAATAAAAATTTTTTTTATTTACATTATTATAAAATATAAAATATCTCAAAAATATAAAATATATATACCTCAAAAATTCTAGCACCAGCACTAATACCTTTAACATATGCTCCAAATAACAACGATAATTGCGATAAAGATTTTTGTATAGTCTGTGTAGCCATTAAAAATGCCATTAAATCTCCTGGAGATAATTGTCCAGTGGATAATAAATGTCCACCGAAATATAAAGTACAAAGTAAAATACCATTAAGAAACAGATTTGTTCCTCCTTGAAATAAACCAATTCCTAAACCTAATTTTTCAAATAATGTTGATCCTAATATAGTTTCCTTACAAAACATTTCTATTTCTTTTTCTTCAGCTGCAAATGCTTTTACCTATAAAAAAGATATATTATAGATTAGAAGAAAAGAAAAAAGAATTCTATTGTCATTATCATACATGATATTACCGTTCTAATATTTTGTATGGCCTCCTCACAAACATGTGTAGATTTAGCAAGTTGATTTTGTGCTTCCATAGATAATTTTTTTAAGCCTTTTCCAAGCATTGTACCAATAAGAATTATGGTAGGCAATGATAACACTGTAGCCGCAGCCAGTTGTGGTGAAATCCCTATTACAGAAACTATACACCCAATAATTTGTGTAATACTCCTTAAACCTTGTGATATGCAAGTTTTAAAAGTACTTTTAAAATCTTGAATATCACTTGTTAATCGACTTACTATTTCACCACTACGATTTTTATCAAAGAATGTGATATCTTGCATCATAATTGATTTAAATAAGTTTTGTCTTAAATTCATTGCTATTTTTTCTCCTACATATGAAAGCATATAAATATAAACAAATGTAAAAAATGCCTAAAAATAAATGTAATTTTTTAAATTATATAGTTTTTTATTTAAATTATTTCATAAATAATACACAAAATTTTTCTTAATAAATTAATTATTACATACTTGTGCAATATACATACGTGCTAATGCAAATGCAGGTGTTGTCAATTGCAATAGCACAGTTTTCACAGTATCTTCTTTACTTTGGCAAATTTTTGTTAATACATTTATTACATTTCCTATATTCTGTGGTATCCAAATATTTAATATAGCAACAATCATTGCACTCTAAAAATTATAAATAATTATATGAACATAAATAAAAAAATCTTCATATTATATGTATTTATTTAAATACTTGCTGATAAAGCTATTATTAATTGCCAAATATATGGATATAAATATTCTAAAAATTTTTTCCATTTAAAGGTTAATTCCTTATTATCCCTTTTAATATTTTCCTGAACTTTATATGCTTTGCCTTCAACAGTTGAAGCGTAAGATTTTATTATGCATGTTCCTATTATACTACCTAACCCACCAAAACCAATTTTAAAATTGATGAAACATTTTTTGATTTGTTAGTATTATTTGTTACAACTTCTTTAATACTATTATTAAATTTTCTTTTTGTTACATCAAATGGTTTACGTTTTTGTCTCCATATAAATAAAAGTAACGAATCTCTATAATAAAATATTATTTATTATATTTAATATAATAATTATATATAATAATATATATTTAATATGCATTATTATAATTTATTATATAAATTTTATTATAATTTATTATATAAGTAATTTATTATGAAAAATAATACCTTGAACATCTTGAATAATTAATATAACTTTTAAATAAAACAGTTCGTAATATAGACATTTTATAAAAGTATTTTATTTATTCGTTATTCAATTACTATAAATATTCATATTCTAACTAATATTCATATTCTTACTAATATTCTTAATGATATAATTTGTCATATTTTGATTATTATGCAACAGTGAAATAATATTTATTTATCATTTTATCAGAAACATTATCATTGAATTGTCTATTATATTAATCTATTTATTAATCTATTATACAGTGGATTAATAAACGACATTTGACAAGGTTAGGAAAATTCATAATAAAATATTGTGCCAAGGGAAGCGCCATATGTAAAAATACGACAATTTTGTTTCTGAAATTTATCACTAGATAGCACTTACTGTGCTATTCATTTTTATAATTTCTTTATTACTTTTGTTCGTGTTAGAACAGATGGTAAAACCAGTGTTAGAATGATTTTGAAATAATAATGATGTATCAAATTAAAAGTTAAAATTAATCAATATGAAGAAAGAATTTATATCGCATCAAGTTCAATTATCTTAGGATAATTTTTTAACGAAATTTCTTTTTGAATGAAAATGAAGAAAGTAGGTTAGTACAGCTTATATTTAATATATTAACAATAACATGATTCAGATGAAGCTGAATATATTATGAAATATACTTGTAAATAACATTATTTATAGTAATTAAGACGTTAAGCAATACAAAATTAATAAAACATAAACGATTAATATAATATCATTTAATATTTATTAATGTTTATGTGAAAATTTAATTTTTATATCATAAACATTTTTTCAAATATGGCTGTCGTAGTTTGGGCGCCAAATTAATTTGTATAACGTATAGGCTAGTTTGAATCTATATATAATTAAAGAAAAGAATATGTTTTTTTTTTTATAGAATTAATAATATTTTATGTTTCATTTTCTTATATTTGTATAATATTTTCATCAGATATTTTTTTTTATATTGAATTTGTAAATCGAAATGGCATCCATATTTGATTTTCTATAGTTATAGTATACACTAATAAAAAGGAAAAATAATTCATATAATTAAACAGAAATTTCATTATTGTTAATAATTAATAATTTTATACTCACATTATTTGCTTTCTATATAGATATATAGATATATAGATATATATATCTTTAACGATAATGTTTATATTTACATATTCTAAATAATTCAAATAGATATTGGTAGATATTAATTTGTCCATCCACTGAAACAATAATTCTTCAATATATTACTGTATTCCAGTGAAAGCTGATAATTTGAATATTTATTGAGATAACAGCAGAATATTATACGTAATTTCCAATAACAATTTCATGGTAATACTATTTATATATATATATATATATTTATATATTTTAATATGTTAAATAATATAAATCTAAGATTATATCATTTAATAAAAGAATTATTTTGAGAATAAAATTTCTTAAATTATAAAATTTAGAAAAATATATCAAAATGTTAGATAATTATTTTGCATATACATATAAATATTATATATATAAATAATTACTTTAGATTCAATAATAACAATAAACAATTAATATAAACACATTCTTACAAAAAAGAAAATAATAAACTTTTCTTTTCAAAAGAACTTTAGATAAAAATCATATAAAATTTTAAAAAACCTTGTACATCTTTATAAATCAATTTTATAAAAATCTTATAAAAATACTAAATCAATCTTATAAAAATACTATACATTATTCATTTAAAAGAAGAAGAAAAACAATTTTAATTACAAAAAATTTTCAAGATTTTCGAGTATCGATATTTAACAAGTTTAACAACGATAGTGGAACAACAACCGGACTGTATTACACACAAAGGTCTCGTGTCATTGCCAGACTCGCGAACCACTTGAGCAAGTACTTAATACTACCCTTCGCGGTATATTCAAGGCGGGGGTGAGCATTTCAGAACGAATGTAATAGCCGCACAGGCAATTAAACGTGGCAAATACATAAATACACGTTATTAACTTTGCGTACAAAGAGGACTGCCAGAGCGATTAGGCCTTTCAAGACTTCAACTGTTCACCCTAAATCTCTTTCTCTGGTGCGCCTCCTCCTCATCCAACGCCACAACAAGTCGCAATTTCAGAGCTTTTTCATGGGGCCGATGCATTACCATGCTGATCAAAGCTGATACTTCCTATGTAACGCACAGGGAACAACGGATCCCCTCCATTGTTATCCGTTAGAAAAACCGTGCGTCTTCCGTGAGATAAGTCGAAGAGTGGCTCGTTATGTCTATACATGTCCAAGTACGCTTTTGATTTTCGTTGGCGCATGATTCTTCTATTTTTAGTTCATTTCAAATAGTGGTATAATTTTCTGTTAGCGCTAGAATTGGCACTTCACTCCTTTCTTTAGTATTGCATAGGAAAAATTAGTTTATCTTTATTATTTTTCATAATAGGATATTCTTTTTTGAAAGATAAATTCCCTATGATTAAATCATTTGTGCATTTTTGTCGATTAAGAATTAATCAGTTTCTTTTTGTTTAAATTATAAATTAAGGACAAATATCAATTGATAATTAAAAGACTAACACTAAAAAATTTAATTAATATAATGAATAGATTAATTTGCTAGAGAAATGATGAACTTATATTAATAATATATATATATATATATATATATATATATATATATATATATATATATATATATATA